AATGCTATGGCACCACCCAGAATAATCCCACTTGTTGCTTTGCGAAGCTTTAATCTAAAAACGGCAAATACTCCCAAACAAATGCTGCAGATATTATCTAGGCAAAAACCACCACAACACTCGAAAAGCAAAAGGGGGCCTTCTCAGTTCGGAAGTCAACCATGCGGCGGAGGAGAGGTATTGGGTAAAAAACCAAATTTGACATAAGATCAATCAAATACTACAAGGAAGGTAACCCCTGCAAGGCAAGAAAGAGTGCGCGCAGAACGAGGCTTCAGGCTACACTATAAAGTGATACGCAAACACCCTCAACATGGGGAAAAAAGGGTCAGGCCAAGGGAAAGAGGTGATTGCGCGGGATTCCATCTTCAACCGAATCAAGGTACGACGATCGTCCAACAGTTTCCGGCCGGATCTGTGTACATCTGAAGATACCATTGAAAAGAGCACGGTGAACTGAACATGTTACGTGCTGGAAGCAAAGAAATCCGGCTGTTATTCATCTAGTTGAAGAGGATTACGTCATCGTGTCATCGGGCGAGATTTTGATCCATCAAATCACGACGAGCAGAAGCAATTGAACGGGGATCAAGATATGTCTTGACACAGGCGTTGAAAGCAAGAGGTCCTATACACCAATCGATAGAGGACATCTCGCCGCAACTCTGAGTATCATTGCAAGCTTCTAACTCCAGATATTAGTGAGTTAGGTTGATTCGAGTGATAAAGTGCTATTGTGAAGAGAATCACAAAAATCACGAGAAAGCTCATAAGTATTCAGGAGAAGCAAAACTCCACCGTGCAACTGTTTGAGACATTATAACTCACTCATTGTAATCATCCAAGCATACCAAGACCATCTGCAAGCTTTGGAGAGGCAACAAGAGGACCATCAGAGGCAGTTCGCTACTTCCCAAGGCTCCTGCAATAGCAGCGGACTCTTAGAGCACTTATTTAATTTTTATATTTTGCTTGTGATTGAATTGGATATAAGGACCCCCGTAACACTTTAGACCTAAAACTCCCTTGGTTCCTTGCATGATGAATTTACATGCGAACCGGACTAGATGATTAATACACGAGTCAATAGTAAAGAGGTGTCAGGTATGTTTCCTCCAACAGCCATCAGCTGGTACCAAGCGCTCGATTTATGGAAGATATCTACGTGAAAGAGGCTACCGGTACATCGTCAATGTCAAGGGGACCGTCACATTCAACCAACCAATTCCTGACACCAACCAACTTCCTGTTTGTTCTTGGGGGAAGTTCCACGGCTACTGGAAGAGTAATCATTCCAAGCTAGTACTCGCTCGCCCTAGGGAAGACGTTTGCAATGAATGCTACATCTGGATGAACCGGCAGAAGTTCCTTGTCGAAAAGTTGAAGAAACTGCATCCTACCGTCACGGACATTGATGAACTGGCAATGATCGGCGATCAAGAACAAGAGGAAGACGAAGAACCAGTGGTTCCACCCTCTCCGACAGCGACAGCGACAGCAGAAGACACATCCACACAAACCCTTCTACGTCCACGCCTACCACAGAAACCGGCACTGATGCACTACGCTAAAAGCTAGTGTAAAGATCTTTCGAGTGTTTTGAGTTTGAGAGAATGAAAGTTATGAGAGAGATTAGAAAGCTATGAAAACTAATCAACGAGAGAGATCATCATCAAGGGATCGTAGATCTGGCTTCCCGCGGGAGACTATAAAGTGTGATAGAGTAGGTTGCGGTAGCAATCCTACGTCTCTCCACGATCCTAAAACGGAACACGTGGAAGGTTTGTCTAGCCTGGATCTAGTAGCGTGGAAGTACTCCACGCTGGCTAAATATCTAGAGCGATGTTTCATCATCAACCTAGTATGACCAGCGCGGTCATTGAGAACCCTGTCTCAAATGACTATTCACGAGAGACTCAGTCATGAGTCGAACTCAAACCCTATCTAGGATCGAGTCGCGAATAAGGCTAAGAGCCGTGTATTGCACTGAGGAAGCTTCAAGTTCTGGTGTTGAAGCCGGATCAGAATCTTCAAAGGAAACTCCCAAGGAAACTCCCAAGGAGAAGGAAAAGAAGAAGACACCTGAACAGAAGCGCATGGAAGAAAGGAAAGCACTTCTACGGGAGCAGGAAGAAATGGTGTTGAAGTCGGGCAAACATGCAGTCGACTCTGTGACACAGCAACAGTTTTATCAGGAACAGAGAAACCTCAGCCGTATCACCAAGAACAACCGTCCCAGTGAGAGAACACTCTGTTTCGTTGCTGATTATGCACAGAACATGGGCCTTCCTCGCTTCGGCTCAGAGCAACCAGGAGAAATCTACTACTATTTGCCACTCAATGTGTATGCATTTGGTGTTGTTAATTGCTCTGTTGACCACCTCAGCGCTTTTGTTTACACAGAAGACGCTGCCAAAAAGGGAGGAAACAATGTCGCGTCCATGTTGCGGCTCCACCTCAAGAGAGCGGGTGTGCTGGACACTACAGAGCCATTCAAGGAGATCACCTTCATCTTTGATAACTGTGCAGGTCAAAACAAGAATAAGATGGTGCTCCGTATGCTTGCCTTCCTTGTTAAGCTTGGTATTGCCAAGGTCGTCAGAGCTTCTTTTCTTATACGCGGTCACACGAAGAACGATTGCAACCGACTCTTCAATCTAATGAAGAAGAATTACAGAAAGGTAACTGTCATTGTTCTTCTCATGAAAACCTCAAACTGTAAACGTCTTACTCACATCATCTGCTTCCTACTGATGCTAAGGCGAACTTGTATTCTCCAGGAGAACTTATGGAGGCTTTAAAGCATCCAAAGGTCACACCTGTCTGGGTTGGCAAGGAATTACAAGATGTGTTCTTCGACTGGGACAAACTGGAAGGGATGTTCTTCTACAAACCAGACGCCGTGAGTACCAATCATGTCTTCACTTATGATGTTGAAGTCGCCAATGGCAACATGCTTATCACCCAACAGGGAGGCGTCGACTCGATAAGGAACTATGAGCTTATCTTGAAGAAGAGTCATTGGAATCGGTTGCGTTATAAGAAACCAATCGACCCACAATGGGACTCGCCGGCAAGGTGGAAAGAACGGCTACGGCTGCTTCAACCTATTCCTTCCCTTGGAATCAAAGACATTAAATGGATTGAGCTCTATGACAAGTATGGTCCTCTCATTCCATTCGACAAGAAGGCAGGCATGAGCTACTACGTTGAAGACCCAGGAGACGAGCGTCGAGAGAAAGTTAAGAAGAACAGCAAGGAAGCTAGAGAAGCAAGGAAAAACCGCCCCATCACTAAAAACAGCAGCACTGTTGCTGCATAGTCTAATCTAAGAGATGGCTATGCATTATAATGGCTTTGTATCATGGTAAGGCTGTGTCATTGTTGCTGGAACGCTTGTGAGCTTCAGCAAGGTGCCTCACTTTTTGTTTTCGCGATTTTTGAAATGGGAACCTCCCGACCATGACAGACGGTACCTTCCTGTAAACGTTCTGACCTGTCTTACCTAACAAGTTCTGAAAGTCAACTTTTACTGAGTACTATCATAGTAGCTAGCTAGAGATCAGATAGTCTGAGTTCTCCATTTTCTATTTTAAATCAAGTTTAGGTTGAGTTTTGTGCGAGTCTGGTGATTTTGGGTAGCATCGCAATGGCACTTCACATGGCCCGCCCCCAAATGAAACAACTTTGACCAGTCTATGATTCAGAAGGCACAGATTGACCAAAAGATTGTTGTTCAGAATTTCCCTCACCTTCTTGAGCTTCCAGAAAAACCGTTAGGAACCTGCCAACGGTCCAATGCAGCTAAAAATGCTTGGTCTTTCTTACGTGATGCATGGTCATAAAGAGATTCATAAGTCATTTTCGTTGTTCTTTGCCCTTGCTCCATGTTGGAAGACCAACAGCCTTTCAATGGCCTACCTGCCTCCCGGAAGAAGTCCACAGACCACAGACATGTCTTCCCTCCAAGGGCTCGGAAGATGTTTCAAAGTGTCAGCGGAAAGGACTAGAAGCAAAAGGCTTCTCTCTTTTGATTCGATTGAATCATTCGTTTCAATCCTTGGTGAGGAGTGTCAACCAAGTCAAGTAACCCTCCCTATCAATCGGATGTTCACAAACTTCAAAGGCGAAAAACTTCCCAAGTTCTCACAAAACTTGATTGCCCACAAACCAAAAGACTCGACTCAACTCTACAGTACCAACAAAAACGCCATGACCAAGCGAAGCGCAGAACCCATCGTTGCTCTCTGTGAATGCCAGTCTGAAGACTGCGTCCCTGAGCCACCCCTCAAGAAGCGCCTGAAGCTGCTTCAAGCCGACTATGAAGCCAAGCAAAGCCAGGCCAATGCCGGCAACTCCGTCCCGCCCTTGATCAAGTTGCTACCTGAAGTTGCCTGTGCCCTCGCTGAGATCTCGGACGATGAAGATGACGACGAAGCATCAGTTGCCACCGACAAGGGATACGACGATGCGTCATCAGCAGCTTCTGTTTCAAGACAATCACGGAGAATTCCTACCCCACTCCCGACACGGCTGATGCCCCTTCGGGCCCCTGCTCGGTTCTTGCCATCAGCCAAGAAGAGTGTTGTTACCAAGCACAACTACTGCACCTCAGGAAAGCCTCTTGCCTGCCCTCCAATGCTTCTTCGAAAGCCAAATGCCCTGCTCAAGGAAATTGATTCCACCTTGCTGTGATCTTCCTCTAATTCCAGCGAGCTTTCTATCTTCTAACTATCCAAATAATTGTCAAGTCTAACACGCTAGAATGGGCTGACTGTACCATCTTAGTTCGGATAAAGAATCGAATCGTAACTAACGGGGATAAATTAAACAATACTACCATACACACCAAAAACTTTCATCGGACGAAACCAAAACTTGCGGGGAACAAGCTACCGTTCCCCACTGTAGCCAGCTTCACTCCCCACATGGTGCTTGAACAACGCGTTCGTTTCCTTCGTTGCTTCATCCAAGCGTCTCCAAGAGGCCACGAGGATAAGAACTGACATGTCAAGCAAACTCCTTCAACTGAAGTTGCACATGGATTTCCATGGATGAAGGAGACTCGGAGTGAGCGGCACCTTGCTCCATGGTGTTGCCGATAGTGGAAGGTTTCCCACCCCTGCCAGCTTGGGCGAACCACAGAGCCAATGAAACAACTTGAAAGCCTATTAGGTTCCTGCCTTTGCCCGGCCCTTCTTGAAGCCCTTCTCGATAGCTAATCACGAACCACACGGGATTTGCAATTTCACAGTCCGCAAGCCAATCACCACTGCTGGTTTGTCAGCTGGGATTGAATCTGCTGGATTCACATCTTGCGGGATACAGCTCGGCATACTTTGAGAGTCTCTGAGACACAAGGAGCTTTTTCATAGCCCCGAGCAGTGGCACGCATGTTCCACGAAGCTTGTCAGTGATGTACATGTATGTATGTAGTCTACATTAACGGTTTCCAGTTGGCTGGTCGGACTTGGTTGGAATGGTGCCATGCGGTTATCTATTGGTCGAAACAGTTGCAACTCCGCGGGCTGAAACTGAATTTGCTTTTGATCTGCCGGATTGGACAACAGAACAACAGAACCTCGCTCCAATGACGCCGAATGCAAAGCTATCGCTTGAAAGGAGCCAACAGATCTCCCTGGTGTCAACGAGGGCAATGACCACCAAGACCTCCATGTTTCGCAAATGCAAACTTTGCTCTTCGGTTTCAAGGACTTGACAGCCACCTGGCTCGAGGCCTGGCAGGCCTCGAGGCCACCACAACTGCCACCACTGGGATTCGATTCAACTTCAGGAGGAAGAAACTAATTTACTTCTACTGTAGTTAGTGCAGCTGTTAGTGCTGCAGCAACAAGGCACTGCTTCTTGGAACAATCCGGGCACCGGTGTCTATAAGCTGCTCACCTGAAAAGAGATTCCGCAATAGACCAACATGGTTTATCCCAGGTAGCAGCCTGCTAGCGAACTGACGCACTCGTAGTTGTGGCGAACTGTTTGCCCTGGCCCCCAACTTCCTCGATAGTACACCTAATTGCTAGCTAGAGAAAATTCCGGGTCAAGCCAAGGTCAAAAGCAAACGATCGACTATAATGTGGCTGTCTGTGCGTACTACATGTATGTCAAATACCGGTGCTACACTGGCTAGCACCAAGCAGCACGTTATAAACTTGTACGTCGGATTTCATGCATCAAGGGCAAGTTATCGTCGACCCAGCACAGCGGTTAACCCACACCACGAACGCTCTCTCTAGTTTTCGCCCAAAGTACTTCCTGATAAACTGGTCCCAACCGTGGGAGCCGTCGATGCAGCATCAGATCCATCCGCATTCTGCCCCACCACTTGCAGCAGCTGCGAAAGCCATTTTTGCACAGTCGGATCATTGTGCAAATGAGGACCAAACGTATTGTCGCGCAAAGACGCTGGTAGACAAGTCTTCAAAGCTTCTCGAGCCCGAGGATGATCTGCGAGGCGCAGATAACATCGAACCACATGTTTGAGTAGCCGAACCGAAGGATGTACCTGAAGCAATTGTACCATATTGGAAAGGACCGTCCCGACAGCATAGAACCGTTCTGCAGTAGCGCAGACGTAGTTTAAGCCTGTTTCCTCGAGCAAAATCTTTTGAACAATAAAGGTAGCTACCGTCTTGGAAAGTTCACTTCCAGTTTCCATGATACGCAAGCAAAGAGGGATAATCTCGGTGGATAATAGAAAGCTAATGACTTCAGTGTCATCCACTTTGACCAAGGCCCCAATGACTCCCAAGGAGGTAAGACGAAGGTATTCAAAAGGTCTCGATTTGGACTGGGTGTTCAAGAATGGGTAGAGGTAGAGTGGGATATTGGCTGCTAGGAAGGGTTGCCGAGTATCTGAATGGGACGCAACACACTGCAGCAAAGCCAATGCATTGCAAACTCGATTGGAGGCATGTGCAGTTAATGTGGGTGGAGTCAGATGCGGATAAATAGAAACAATTTCAATCAAGAGTGCCGCTACCGTGCCTTGGCTGTGCCATAGAATTGGAGCCAAGTCCGCAAAACTCTCTCTCTTCTTGGAAAGCTCTAATAGAACTACTTCTCTCTGGTTAATTTGATGATGGAATTTAAGGATTGCCAAGTACCAAATAAAAAGAGCAGTGCAGTGTAGCGGAGGAATACTTAGGTGAGCCCAGGGGAATATTACATCATGATTATTAGACAGCTACCAAGCTCGACATTTTGATTACCATGGCCGTGAACAATCTGACACATCAACGCACAACGAAGGACAGCAATCCATGCCAGACAAAGCTTTTAATTTCGTAGTCAACGCTCAACGCCATGTGGTAATTTTCCTCGGTGAAACCCGACGAGAGAGAGATCAGTACTTGGACTGGTCTAGCTTACCTGATCAGGATTGGTCAACTGAAGGACCAGCGGCAACAGTTCTTCCATTCCGCCTCCCGCTACACCGGCATGCGATGGTGTAACAGGCGTCAAAGGGTTGCCTGGTGGAGTTGGGCTCGTCGCCATGGTCACTGTAAATATATTTTGGAACAGTTCACCGCCTTATTCTTGAGTGCGCTTTGAAAGGAAAAAGTCTCCAGCATTAGTGCGTCCGTATTCGTACTAACTTTCAAAGATTTTCAACGATTAAACACAAAATAATACTTTTTGACGTTTCCAATTACAGCATTTTTCAAAACACTTGATAGCAAAATAGAAAATACAAGTAGATTATCGTTTTTGACATTTCACAGCTGGCTCAACGTCATCCATCAAAGCGGATGCCGATCCAACAGCAACCCTGAAAGGACGAGCTTCAGCAGTACTGTATACCCAAGGTCTTCATCCCAATCAAACACTAAACCCCCTACGAACTATTAGTATAGTAACCAGCTAATACCTTGCTTGTCAGTCAGACATTCCTTGGCCATGTTTTCCAGTTCAGTAATTCTTCGACGAGGGGCACCTCGAGCTCTTCGCTGCTCCCCTAGTGTTGCTCGGTGTTTCTCCTCCCCTCCCCAACCGTCGCCCAGCGCCTTTGATCCTGCTGAAATGGAAAAGACCGTCGAAGAAATGAGAAAGGACTACATTACGGATGAGGACTCGAAAGTGAGTGTACTAGCTAGCTAGTATATCAGGGCCAGAGAAGGAAGAAGAAACTCACCTTTTCTGTTTTTGATTTTTTTCTGGTTATTATAATATTAGTATGCATTGGGCAAACACCGTTGCAATGCGCTCGAGCTGGTAAGCAAGGTTCCAATCATTGAAGTGGCTAAAGAGATGGCCATCTGTGATGGAGGTGGTGGTGCTTTGGGGCATCCTGTGGAATACATCTCCTTGGCACGTCCTGGCTCGGTCGAGACCTGCAAGTACTGTGGGCTCCGGTACACGCAAAAGGCGCACTGAACAACACGTACAAGACCGTCACAACAACCATCAAAGCTGAAGACTTGTAGTGAAGAGATTCACTGTGTATTCATTATGAATTTAGTCTAATTTTCTGACCTTAGAAACAGATTTTCTCCGTGTTAGCAGCAGCTTTTATTAGACTAATGATTGATTATGTGGTCAAAAATCAGTTTGGTTCACGCCAGCTAGCTAGACTTTTGTTTTCCATTGGATCCACCACCACCAGCTGATGATGATGATGATGCCCCCTTGGCAAAGAATTCGTGTTGGAGTGCGTTCCTCAAGCTTATTCGTCTGCTGGGATCGAGCGAAAGGCATTTTTGGAGTAGATCAGCAAAGCGAAGCACCAGAGTCCGCGAATCCTTGGCCGATTTGGCCTTGAGTAACTTTTTGGAGAGGGGGGTTGAAGGGAAGACTTCGTGTTGACTATCTTGGCTGCCTTGATCTCCCGAAAACAGAGAAATGTATTTCTGGACCGGCTTGCCCGTGACGGGATCAACCGTGTGCTGCATGTACAAATAATCGCTGCCAGCTCCGTCTTTTCGTTGTGTGAAATGGGGAGGAATGGGCATTTTCTGGCATTGGACTAAGTGTTGTCGTATCAGACGATTGGAGAAGGGACCCAAGTGTTGCATAAAGCTGTAAATCATGTCATTGTTGGTGTTGCCCCGGAACACGACGTTACCCAGAAAGATTTCAGCCACCGACACTGCCAAACTCCACAAGTCCATGGCATAGGTAGGAACGAGACCCAGAATGACTTCGGGAGCCCGATAAAACCGAGATACGAGGTATGGCGTTGGTGTTTGTGACTGAGAGGAAACCGAAACATCAATGGCGGATCCAAAATCTCCCAATTGTACCATATTGAAGTCTCTTGAGACGAGGATGTTGTCAGGTTTCAGATCGCTGTGAAGTATGGCATGTTTCTTCAAGTGATTGGCAGCACCCAACAATTGATGAAAGTAGGATCGAACAGCTTCGAGGCTAAGACCCACGCCTTTTCCAAACTTTTGTAGCACATCACGCAAATTATAGTCGGCACACGGAAAGACGAGAAGAACATGGCCACGATGGTCCAATGGCGTCGTAGATGTAGGTAGCAAGAGGTCGACAATGCCAGAAGAGTTCTTCAACCGTTGCAAGAATTGGATTTCAGAAAAGGCTGCTTTGGCCATGGTTTCATTGTGACGAATGCATTTGATAGCCACAACAGGTGGAAGCATTACACTCGTGGAATTGCTGATTGTGGTGCATTTGAGGACTGAAGAAAAGACGCCCTTTCCAATCACGCCTGAAACACGAAAACTAATGTCACCACCACCAGCAACTGTAGTACTGGCAGTGCCATCGCTTTGGTTGTTCTTGGAAGCATCCACAGTGATGACTTCTCCAATAACAGCTTTGTAGTATCCCTCTGAATCGTCCCAGTCCTGTTGAGTCCCTCCTGCTGTGTTTCCCCCTGCTGTGGCCGCCTTGGCCATGGCGCCGTCTGCTACGATCGGTGACACGGAACTGGAAAACATATCAAACCCATCGTCGTCGTCGTCATCATCACCGTTGTTATCCTCGTCTTCTTCTTTGATATCCTCAGTCTTGATCTTCTTCTTTTCCTGGATTTCGATCCCAGCTTCGGACTTGATTCCAGGATCGTGCTTCACGGCAACAGCATTCTCTTGTCTTGGAGCTGCCACGGCTGGTTCTGTCGTCCCTGTTTCAGCTTCCAATCTCTCCAGGCGTCGTTTTCTCTCCAAGCGCCGTCTCTCGGCTTCTTGCTTTCGGCGCTCCTCCTCGGTCACAAACTCATCGCCTTCCAATAGGCTCAACAGGTTGTCGTCGTCCTCGGTATTATCTCCTGCCATTGCCCAAAACACTCTCACTTCTTTGTGCTTCCGTGCTTGTCAAGGCGCTGTGTCGCCGCAAACAAAGTAAAAAGCCAGGCCGAGCTGCGAGGGCACACCGTCAGAAACGAACTCCGTTCAGACCGATTTAGGACTGAGGCAGATAGATGCAGTAAACAAGATAATATGCACGTGTACATGTGTGTTCTTCAAACACAGTATTGACCGGGACGCTAAGTTTACTGAACAGTTGTCTTCCAGACCTGTGGGCACCAGACCCCAAACTCTTAGGGGGGCAGGTAGTCAGGTTTTATGTTCGGATGAAGTATGGCATGAATCTTCAAGAGGCATGTTTCTTCAAGTGGTTGGCGGCCCAGCAATTGGTGAAAGTAGGATCGAACAGCCTCAAGGCCAAGACCCATGCTTTTTCCAAACTTTTGTACTATCAGACCAAGTCTAGGCCCCACATCACCTGGACCTCCCAGTACCATGTACCATACCTCAGGTCCATCCCCAGGTTCCACAACTGGAACAACACCAGGGGCTGCTTCCAGACCAATTCCTGCAGACTGGACCCTGGACCGATACCTGGATCCGCACCAGGATGACCCTCTGGACCTACTCAATGGCCTACCGGTAGCACTGAAATCACTCTAGGATCCACCCAGGTTCTATCCTTGGTCCATACAGGTCCCGCAGCAGAACCTACGCTTTGGTCCATCAATGGCCAGCAATCCTGGTCCCAAAGCTACGGAGCCTAACCCTGGACTTACTCCGGATCCCAAATCAAGACACTCGCAGCGAAGCTTGTTGTAGTGTAGGTGCTCATTAGCTTTTTGCTATCTTGCAGCCAAGGTTACTATTAGCTATAGCCAGGTTACAGTTTGATTATTGCAATTACGTTACCATTCGGCATCCTTTCACCCCACGTACCATCCAAACACTGCAGTTCCAAATCAGCCAACTTGGCGGTCTTTTAAAAGGCAAACAGGGCTTCATGGGTTGGTCCAGGTCGAACAAGGTATTCTCTCCAGTCTGAATTGCTTCTCCCCTCTGCTTCCCATTTTCTAGCAGCAAGAGGGATTGACAACATCGGGCGCCCTTCCAGAGCCGCCCAGAGCCCCATCAGTGGGCCAGCCAAGTACTGGTAGTCACACTGCAACCGTTACTGAACCGGTACCAATGGGCCTGAGCTTCGTCTCATGCAATCTGCGAACAAGCCCTGTCTTGGTCCATACCTTGACGCGTCAATAAGTTGTCATTCTTCTCCTTTCCCGCAGCTGGTTCTGGCTCTTCGGGGGGTTAAATACTCGCTATTGTTAGACTAACTGCGGCAACGAAGTTGCTTTTGTGATGCGAGAATACATGGGGTAAGCCCCACGCATCTGAGTCATCAATTTCTGGCTCTTCAAGAGACTTATCTAGCTACCGGTAGCTAGCAACCGGGTGCCGCTATGATATCCGCAACGAGAAGGGATGTTTTGTTGGTTGCCACACCGAAGCTTCCTCTGCAGCTCCAACAAGAAGAAAAAACACGTCTCAACGCATTGCAGAAGCCTTCTTTTTGCCGTTTCAGTGTCATTCTGTTTATCGTAAGACCTGCTTTTGACAACCAAGTCAACCTGTCTACAGCAACGTTGCATTGCCCGTCGAAGCTGCAGCCAAGAGCAAGCGAAACGAATCCCCCTGTCAAGATATGGAAACAGCAGGACAGCACGGCAGCCGCCAACTACCTGATAGCCCTTCCTGCCCGCTCCAACTCCTATTGCATTAGCAGCGCGCTTCGTTGTACTAGTACTAGTATGTTTCAAAACAGAGTTGTTTCTAAACTAGTCTTATCCCAAACTGTATTGTCCTACTCAAGAGAGTTATCAACATTTAGCAATTGTTCAATGCATCGATTGCTGTCTGCAGCTGTTGTTCCAGTGTCTTGTTGATGGATCGCATGCGTCTTGGTCGAGGAGGGAGGATATCTCTTCCCATCGAACTGCTGGAATCTTGGTCCCACATGGATAAGATGGCGCTGGTGCGTTGTCGCGCCGCTCTGGACTCTGGACAGCTTGGGGTCATGAACTGCGCATTGCCAGTTCCGCATGTGAATCGTCGATTCTGCCGCAAAGGTCCCTCAGCTTCGTTCTTTCGAAGCAACATTCGCAAAGACATTTCCACCGAAACAGGTTTTCGAGATGGAACCCTGATGCCGCCTTCGCTGCTGGCTTGTCGCCTGGGGCATCGAGGGCTCTGCTTGGGGCATCGAGGCTTCTGGGTGCCAGGGATGGATCGACTATGCATAGATCCCTCGACATGGTCCTGGCCTAGCTGCCCAATATCACGAACGCCACGCCTCGGCCTTCGCAAACTCCTCTGACGCTCCGGTTTGCGAGGACTGACAGCAGCCACCGGTGAGCTTGGAGGGAGACTCTTTTCCCATCTGCTCGAGCAGCTCTCATCGTCAGAACTTGCGCTCAAATCGTCGTCGTCGTCGCATTCATCGTCTGAAACATCCGATTCCACAATATCTTCTTCAACAAATTCGGCCGAAACCACAACACATGTTGGCACTTCGATTGTCATGGCGGGGTTTGTGGTTGGTATCGAGGATTGTGTTTTAAAAACTACTTTTTCAACCCGAAAGCAAAGTCTGAAGAGGGAGGGAGGAGGGAAAAATGATAAAGTGGAATCGAATCTCCAAAACTTTTGCTTCCTTTTTCCTCTGGGTGGAAGTTGGACGCCGATTCTTTCTTACTAGAGTATAGCCCTTTGAGTAGGCCTCCATATCTTAAAGGGGAACAACGTGTCTTTCTCCACCGGTTACTAAGGAAAGCATTAAATAATCATGAAATGACCAACGGAAGGAATTAAGATACCCGAACCGGTACTTTTAGTACTTAACAGGTTAACGCGTCACGCACTCTACCTGTACATGTATGAACTTTGTCTCACTAGGTGATTTACCAGTCACTTTTTGCATAGAAAAACTTGACTTTATATCCATTCAATTCTGAGCATCTATTCTTCAAAATTTCCTTATAAGAATGAAAGACCCTTAATGTTTATCCAAACTTGTTAGAACCAGAATGTTCAAGGAGCTTTAAATCTTCTAATTCTGAATTTGACGTGTTCCACGACCGCTAATAGTCTCAAAGCGTAGCAAAGGAAATGGGGAAGTAAGAGAAATAGAGAAATAGCTTTTAGACAAACACAGGGACTAGTTAGCTATTAATAGACTAACAAACAACAAATAAATAACAAACACACAAACACACATGCACATACATACCGTACATGTACATGCTCGGACAAGGATGCGGTCACAAAACCACGATTTCAAAATGTTTGATTTAGAGCCTCGCCACCCGATTTGGTGCCCGGGCACCGTACCGCCGTACCGTATGGCATTCATGCTTGGGCGCTTCGGCTTCGACTACAACATGAGTTTGCAGCTGTTTGCCCATTGTAAAAGAGGAAGGCAGTTAAAGAGCTGTTACATGTTAATGAGCAAAGCACACATGACTGTACATTACCGTACTAGTACAGCTGTACTGGCTAACTAGTGTCATTTTTTGGACTGGATCATGGCAAGGTGGTACCGGTAGCACTACTAGCTAGTATCATAAGTCTTTAATTGCACAAGAGTGTTGACATGATTTTTCCAGCTGACTGTAGCTAGCTATGATAGTACTGTACAGTCGTACCGGTGCCAGCTAGCAAGTACGAAGTACGAGGTACCGGTGGTACATGTACCATTACTCCTCGGGATAATGCCACTGCAACATGAGTTGCGCGATACAGTAGATCCGCAAGGTAACGAACTAGATCCGCAAGCTAACGAACAACAATGTTAGCAAGCTGGCATTACGGAAACATCTTGTACTGGTTAGCACGTTTTCTCTCATCGGGTGAAGACTCCCCAGAGAAACTACAACATGTACTGCGGAACCCGTTCTGCCCATTCAGGATGACAGAGCGACTGGATAATATGACTCGACGCAATGACCTCAATGAGCCAGCAATGAATCCAACCAAGAGCAGCAAGCAGAAGGGGGACAATTTGGCCGCTACTGAGTACTACTAGCTACTAGTACTCAGGTTGTAGCTTTTTCGGTACTGGGATCTATTAGCCAATAAGTAATAGAGTAGCCAGTATCCGGATAGTACATGTACTCGTAGCTGTCTTCGCCGACAGCTTGTTGGGTTCTCAAGAAAAAGTCTGTATGTCTTCATGTAGTCTAGCTAGTCTACTAGCCGCTCTCGTCAGTTTCGGTTGCTTTTGGCTGGTGGTTGGTCGTCATATTGCCTCTGTTGCTTTGACAGAAGGCATGGAGCGATAACGCACCTTAAAAGTCGTACTGATGCTTGGACGCAGTCCTCTGCCCACCTGGCCTTGGTAGGCACTGAAGGCTGCCCCTGGAGCGATCCAAAGCTATGTCAAACGTCCCTCCCACATGTTCCGCGCTTCTGGTGATGTGGATGTCTTCCTGTACGAGATTTACAGCTGATACACGATGTATTGCTTCTTACTGGCTACTGGCTGTTTCACTTGGTTTAGTTGTCTAACCCCAAGCAAGCTTGGTCTATCTGGCCAGCCAGGAATGGAGGCTCTGGGTTTGGAAGCTTGCGTATTTGCTCGGACCTTGAGTTCGCTCACGAGAAAAGCAATTCCCTCCAAAGGCACCTCTGTGAGGGTAGCTTCATGGATGCCAAGTGGCTATTTTTCCTGGGTCGGCTCAACTGAAGCTGTGCAAGAAAATGAAATCGTCTCCTCATGGGGCAATGACATTGGCAAGCTCAGATCTTGGAAGTGGATCGTGATGTTGGCCAGGTACTTGCCAACTGCAATAATGGCACAGCCCACTGATCTCTGCAAGAAGCGCAAGACCGTCAACATTGATCTTCTTAGCTGTGCTGGGTAGCCTTACTCTCCCATGGCAGTTCTTTCAGTCCAAGGAAACTGGCCTCAATCTTCCATCCAAACTCTGTTCTCTCTTTAGTACTAAAGACGCTGGTATGATGCTCATGCATGTTGCTATCACACCATAACAGAGGCCTCTCAACGACGGCATGAGAGGTATTTCCTGCCAACTGCCTGAGATTGGGATCTGCAGACATGCACTGTTTCAATCTCTGGCCACAGCTGGTTTCCCACAAACCCAAACGGCTCTACTGTTTGTGGTGTCCAGGCTAGTGGGCTTTGCCAGGAAAAAGTTTGAAGGGCTCACATCCTATGCAGATTGGTTTGCTTACAAAGCTGTGAGAGCCTGTGTTGGGGATTCGCGATTAGGGATTGAACCTGTACCTCTGTACTAGAATTTCACACCAGTAGCAAAACTGGTAGCCCACCCACTTTTTCAGTAGTATCTCAATAGCATGACAATGGTAAACTAGAGAGCTTAGTGAATCTAACATACTACTGAAAAAGGCTGCTATCACGATAGCAGTGGTCGTTGTATCGAAGAGAGGAGAAGAGAAGAAGAGGAGACCGTCAACGACGCGAAGAATCGATTGAACGACGGCAACAAGAGGAACGCGACTGCGACGAACACGAGGATCGACCGAGGATCGGCCGACGACGACGACGACGCGACGCGAAGATCGATACAAGACCGAAGAAGAGGAGACTGTCGATGCTTCGACAGCAACAGCGAGGAGACTGTCGAAGGCGACAGCAACAAGAGAAGACTGTCGAAGGATCGACAGCATCGCGACGACGCGAGAAGAGTTTCGTCGGTAGAATCCACAAGGATTACCGGCAGGAAGATCGATTGGCGAGGAGAGCCAACGATAGGAGAAGAGCCGACAGTATCCAGATTTAACTGTCAGAGCCAACAACAAGCGCGAAAGCCATAGTGCCAGCGCAGGGGCCAAGGACGGGCACCCAACTGACAAGGAGTCACTCAACAAAGAAACGGGTTTGGAAAGGCGCGACCGCACAGTGTGTGAAGCATCGCCCACCTTCAAGATCTTTAGTATAGACTTAACACTCCCTAGCCAGGAGTATAAGTTGAAGTTTATCGCCCCATAGCCAGAAGACGAATAAGTAGTCGGACAAGAACTTAAAATAAAGAGCTAGTCAAATAAAAAAGAAAGATTGAAATAGTCCACCTACCGTAGCATCGAAAATGAGCGGTAGAGGTAGAGGAAGGAGTGGCGAGGCGGCAGAGGACGAGGAGGGCGTGAAGACCAGCCCATCATCTTCGAACCAACAAAAAGGTTCATGCAAAGCCCTCGAACCACCATGTGTTTGATTTCGGTACATGGATCTGGACAGCAGACCAGATGATATGAACATTGGGAGAAGATCACCATCTACGTTGGACAACAGATGGGTGACGACATTAGCAATGAGCTACGGAACCTGAAACACACAGTGTTGGTAGCACCGGTATACTCAGAGGAGACCCAGAACAGGCTCGACTCGGCGGCGGAACGACGCCAACAGAACAACACACGTCTCCTAACGGCGACGCAGGAAAGTCTAGCGCTAATGGAACAAGAAGATACGCGGTACTGAGAACACCCACTTGGTAGTTACGCCCTAACGTAGAAAAAGCAAAAATCGTCAATGAAATAGCCGACCTTACTGCAGCCCTAGCAGATCCACCGGAAGAGGAACTCCGGGGACTCGAGAAAACAGAATATGGAGGACTCATGAAGACACACCTTACTAGGTTGGCAAAACATACAAGAAAATAGAGGAAAGCATTCAACTTGATCATCGGGCAG